ACATTTTTTCCTCATCAATTCTATGATTAACCCCTTCCTTCATAAATCCATCGCCGACACGTCAATCCCAAGATATCTGAAAACATTCATTCGTCCATACTTCCTCTCCCCAAATTTGATATCCAATTTTTTCTTTATCTAAATCATTTAGATTACCATCATCACCTATTCTTTTCTATGTTCACTTTTCAACTTTCTAACTTTACACACCTTCCCAACCACTCATCCACTAGCCTTATGCTATTTTTCTTAAGAATCTCCCATGAGCACGAGTATCATCAGAAAAAAGTAAACTTGTGTTAATTCCCATTTTGAATTTGATTCTTCCATAATTTAATCCCACCCTCTCCCCGACTCACCCTAGCAATTTACTTCTTTTACAAACCTCATCTATAAATATATTAATCAACATGGTGGACATTACACATCCTGTCTATGACATTACCTTTTGCCGGATAAAGTAGTCTCCCTCTCTTTAACACCCCTACCTGAGCGAGCAAGGCAAGCAAACAAATATATAAATAAATAAATATTTAGTATATATATATATAATATATATATTTATATATTTATATATATATAATAATTGATTCAGACAGTTTGGCGGGATATGGTTGTGTAGGACTTTTATACGTACAGTGGTCCCCCGGTTAATGTTTTTTTTCATCCAGAAGTACTGTTCAGGTGCCAAGTATCTGACCGAATTTGTTCCAGATATACAGAAATATTGTGAAGTAGATTAGTCCATTTCAGACCCCCAAAATACACGTAACAAAAGCACTTACATTAAATACATTACATAATGGGTCGCATTCTGGAGGTAATACGTTATGAGGGGGTCCATGTATATGCTTTTAAAACTGTTGTAGGCTGATAGCACCTCTGCAAAGCAGTGAGAATGTGTGAGTGTGGTGTAAGTTGTTGAATGAGATGAATGTATTTTCTTTTTGGGGATTTTTCTTTCTTTTTTGGGTACCCTGCTCGTGGGGAGACGTCCATCGTGGTTGGGAAAAAAAAAAAAAAAAAAAAAAAAAAAAAAATTATTAATATATATATATTTATTTATCAGGGAGTAGGTTGGTAGATCGCAACCGCCAGGGTAGGGTACTACCGTCCTGCAGTGAGTGTAAACGAAAGACTGTATTGTTTTTACATGATGGTAGGATTGCTGCGTTTTGTCATTTTTTCTGTCTCATGAACATGCAAGATTTCAGGTTTACGTCTTGCTACTTCTACTTACACTTAGGTCACCACTCTAACACATACATGTACAAGCACATATATACCAAACCCATCTGGTTTTCTTCTATTTGTGTGTCTTTCTAGGTTTTATTCTTGTCTATTTTCTCTTATCTCAATGGGGAAGTGGAACAGAATTCTTCCTTCCGTAAAGCCATGCGTGTTGTAAGAGGCAATAAAAAAGCCGGGAGCAAGGGGCTAGTAACCTCTTCTCCTGTATATATTATAAATGATAAAAGGAGAAACTTTCGGTTAGTCATTTTTGGGCCAACCCGCCTCGTGGGATTCGGGCCGGTGATTTGAAAGAAGATATATATATATTTATATATATATCTTATATATATATATACTATATCGTTACTATTTTATATATATAATATATAGATTATATATAAATATAGGAGCCTACCACCTCTAGAATGTTATGGGCACCCTCATCCTCAGAGAAAATAATAAACTGTGTTCTGCGATAAACTCAGATTTCCCTGAAGCTGTTTGGAATTTTCTCCCTACCACCCCCTATATTATGTATATATATTTTATTTAAAAGTAAAAATACATTGAAAAACATTAACAAAATTATGATACAAAGTAATAAAAACATAGGTAAATCAGAGCTAATCTCGAATATTCGTTCCAGCTCCCTTGCGGGTGGGCCGCGTAGTCCTCCAGAATGCTGCAGCATTTCTCTCTGGATCGAACACTGGAGTCTCTGAAAGGGAAAGGCTGGTCGACCTGTGGTCCTTGGTTTCTTATGATGAGCCTTTTCACCCGCTCTTTGAGGAACTTTAGAGCACACTTGCCCCATGCTCAAGGGTCTCCCCGTCCCTATTGGAATGAAGTTTAGCAAGGGGAAAGGTCTTCTATTTATCGGATTCTTCTGGGTCTACCTATGTTAGGCTGGCCGCTCACCCCCTTCCTCTTCGAGTTTCGGCAAGTATAGTGTCTGCCCAATGTGGTCTGCACAGGTTGATTGTACCCAGGCAATCTGCTTTCCATCCTTACCAGCGGTAGCTTAGTGGCTCATCAGGACGCTTTTGACTTTACCATCATGTCCTCTGTCTTGGTTTCCCGTTGTGCATGGGCAACGGGCATGTGGCAGAGAGGCTTCTCTTTACCTATGTAATTGATCTCCCCTCATGCTCTGGACATACTTCCAATTCTTGCTGTGTTGGCTCAACACGAGACCATGGAGTCCGAATTGCATCTAGCTGTCGCCCCTGCCGCAAATAACCTATGTTCGGTGAGGGGATGGGGGCGATATAAGGCTGAAAGAGGCTCAAACACAAATCTCCAATGGCCTGTGGTGTCGAGTCGGGTGCCCAGGGAGGAATTGGTGAACAGCTAACCAGGGAATCTTCTGTGAGTGTGGTGTCCTTCCACTGCCAGGATCGAGCTTTGTTCTTTCCTGAAGCATTGGAGAGCATGTGTTGGCGATTTTTTCCATGATCGGGTTGTCCCAGTGGTCTGTCGTGCTGTTGGGGAGGAGAGGTCTACTGGAGGAGTCTGTAAGGGTGGCCCACCTCGATTGATGTCTTCAGTTTAACACTGGGGTCTTGTGCTCATACCAAGTCTCTCACGCGTATCGGGCACTATCTTCTTGACTTATGACACTGCGTGGCCAAACTCGGAAGTCAGAAGAGCTAGGTAAAGCTACATGCGGTTGCTTTACGCACCCCTATACCTCCCAGTCGCACTGGCCAAAACTGTTTTGGATTTTTTTGATATGTGTTGATATGGGTGTAAATTCAGGTTTGTTTTTGAGGGAAAAGGGGCCTGGGAAAATTTGCCCTCATTAGTCTGGCAAATAGAGCGCTGTCAATCTTAATGTTTAGTTGTGCAGCACCTATCTGCTACCAAACATTGTAGTAGGTTTGTCTTTGTTGAGGTAATTTTATTGGCTGTCACCCAATTTGATATTTTGAGCAGCTCCAGTAACAAGGGTGTTGAGGGTGGAGGATTAGGGTGAGAGGATGACAAAAGTCATGTCATCGAAAAGGGAAAAATGGGTTTAGGTGTTGGATGTTTGGAAGTATTGATTTAAATGAAAAAGAGCGGGGTTTAAAAGGAACTTCCTTGGGGAAAACCCGTATCAAGTGGCCTGTTTGTTGCTGTGTTTTAATGGTGACTACTGATCCATTAGTAAGGGTGGATTTAAAAATTTGCAAGCCTGGCCTTTATCCCAAAATGGTCAAGTTTGTGGATTTGGATCCGTGGTCTACTCTGTGAAAAGTTTTCTTGGGTCAATAAAAATTCCTAGTGGTAATAAAAATCGTGATAGCCTGAGTGTATGAAAAACAAGCAATAATTTATAACAAATGAAAATTGGGGTGATTTAAACTTCTGTAAATACCGAAAAATTAAAAAAGTCAATTTTTGGGACAGTATGCTTTTCATGCCCCCTGACCCCATCAATCACTAAATCATTTTAAAATTCTGCATTTGCCCTCAATCATATCTGGCCCAATATAAAGCCCCCCGAAGTACAGGCAAAATCATGGGGGGATAATAAATCATAATTACTTTTCAATAACATAAAAAAACCCAGAAAGTCAAACAAATACTTTCAAAAAACCATTGTTGTTTCAGTTAAATTCATGAAAAGATTAACCCCTTTCATGCCCAAAGCCCTGAAATAACAAGTGTTTATAATGCCCACCTTAGGGGGCAATTTGTGTCAGTAGGGTTTTAAGGACAGAAAAAAAAAATATAAAAAACCCCTTAAAAAGGCAGCCCCGACTTTGAAATTTCTTAAAAAATATACAGTATTTTCCAGACCAGTAATGAGTACTCTTTTACCTTATACTATTTCTAAACAAACTGCTGCATATAACGTTTTTCTTAATGAAAATGGTGTACTAATAGTACATAAGGATAACAAGTGAAAAAACTTTGATATTTTTAGTGAAAGATGTCATGTTTTTTTTAACTTGGAAAATGTGAAATGTTTTTTTTCAAGAGTCGGCTGTCTTCCACCCCCAAGGCAGGGTGACCCAAAAAAGAAAGAAAATCCCCAAAAAGAAAATCTTTCTTATATTCAACAATCCACCTCTTTTAAAAATAACCACTGTCTTTGCGAGGCCCCGATACAAAAGTTTAGAAGCTTTAAAAAAGATATATGTAAAATATCTTTCCAAACTGCCAATATCCCCAAAAAAACCTCCTTTTAAAATGCACTCATTGTACTTCCAATTTCCGGCTCAAGTCCGGGTATATAAAAAAAAACCCATTTCCTGAATCCCCTTTTCTAAAATTACCCGCTAACTCCAAAAAGCTCGTCAGGTCCCCCAAAAACCCTTGCTCCTTCACTCCTAAACCCTCTGAATGCTTTCTGGGGAAATCCAAGCACCCCGCCCCAAAAAAATTCTTTACCCCCCTCCCAACCTTTTCGAGGACGACCCACCCTGCCTTTCTTCCCTACGATTTATTAGCTTCCATGCATTCTACTTTGATCCATTCTCTCTAAAAGACCAAACCACCTCAAAAAACCCTCTTTAGCCCTTGCTAAAACTTTTATAACTCCAACCTTCTCCTAATTTTTCCCCACTCCGAATTTTTTTGCATAATTTACACAACACATTACCCCAGAAGGTCTCCCACGCCTCCAATCACTCCTCGCTGCGCATTTACAACCCAAGCTTTACACCCATATACGAGTGTTGGTACCAATATACTTTCATACATTCCCTTCTTTGCCTCCACAGATAATGTTTTTTGACAGGAATGAAGTACTGAAGATTGTAGAAACTTGATAAACTCACGTGACAGTAGGGCTCATACTTCTTTATTTCATTGCCCTCTATGACTTCAACATCTGGTACACCATTATGAATGGCCCGGTCAAACAGATCCATCAGTCTTCCAACTTCTTTATCATTTACTGCCACAATCAGCTTCCCACATTTCTTATATGGTATACCTGAAATTGTTTACTGTGTACATGACAAACTATCCACCAATCCACAAGGGCATGCATTATGAATGATGGGAGAGTGTGTAGTACAAACCTAAAGTAAATGGCAGGCTTATCCATAATTGTCAAATACTAATGATAAAGGTCAGTTAAAATAATTTCTCCATGACAAACAAACTAAAAGATTTAAGTGTAGTAATAATCAACTGACTCATCAACTGGATATTTTATTTAGCCATTCAAAGATAACATACAATTTGCATTCACAAAAACTGCTTTTCACTTGCTGTCAATTTTTATTTGTATAAAATATCCAGCGACAGCACTTGTAATATTATAATATTATTATTATTATTATTATTTTTTTTTTATTATTATCACACTGGCCGATTCCCACCAAGGCAGGGTGGCCCGAAAAAGAAAAACTTTCACCATCATTCACTCCATCACTGTCTTGCCAGAAGGGTGCTTTACACTACAGTTTTTAAAACTGCAACATTAACACCCTCCTTCAAGGGGCAGGCACTGTACTTCCCATCTCCAGGACTCAAGTCCGGCCTGCCGGTTTCCCTGAACCCCTTCATAAATGTTACTTTGCTCACACTCCAACAGCACGTCAAGTATTAAAAACCATTTGTCTCCATTCACTCCTATCAAACACGCTCATGCATGCCTGCTGGAAGTCCAAGCCCCTCGCACACAAAACCTCCTTTTAAACCCCCTCTCTCCAACCTTTCCTAGGCGACCCCTACCCGCCTTCTTCCACTACAGGACTGATACACTCTTAAAGTCATTCTGTTTCGCCCCTTTCTCTCTACATGTCCGAAACCACCAAACAACCCTTCCTCAGCCTCTGGACAACGTTTTGGTAATCCCGCACCTCCTCCTAACTTCCAAATACGAATTCTCTGCTTATATTCACACCCACACATTGCTCTCGACATGACATCTCACTGCCTCCAGCCTTTCTCCTCGCTGGCAACATTCATCACCCATGCTTCACACCCATATAAGAGCGTTGGTAAAACTATACTTCATACATTCCCCTCTTTGCCTCCAAGGACAAAGTTTTTTGTCTCCACAGATCCTAAGTGCACCCACTCACCCCCTTTTTCCCCTCATCAAATTTTTGATTCACCTCATCTTTCATAGGGCCCATCCGCTGACACGTCCACTCCCAAATATCTGAATCTTTTACTCCTCCATACTCTCTCCCTCCAATCTGATATCCAATCTTTCATCACCTAATCTTTTTGTTATCCCTCATAACCTTACTCTTTCCTGTATTCACCTTTAATTTTCTTCTTTTGCACACCCTACCAAATTCATCCACCAATCTCAGCAACTTCTCTTCAGAATCTCCCAAGAGCACAGTGTCATCAGCAAAGAGAAACTGTGACAACTCCCACTTTGTGTGTGATTCTTTATCTTTTAACTCCACGCCTCTTGCCAAGACCCTCGCATTTACTTCTCTTACAACCCCATATATAAATACAGTGGACCCCCGCATAACGATCACCTCCGAATGCGACCAATTATGTAAGCGTATTTATGTAAGTGCGTTTGTAAGTGTATGTTTGGGGATCTGAAATGGACTAATCTACTTCACAATATTCCTTATGGGAACAAATTCGGTCAGTACTGGCACCTGAACATTACTTCTGGAGTAAAAAAAATATCTTTAAAACGGGGGGTCCACTGTTATTAAAAAACCCCACGGTGACATCACACTCCTTGTCAAAGGCCACTTTTACTGGGAAATAATTTCCCTCTTTCCTACATACTCTAACTTGAGCCTCATATCCTCTTTTAAAAATCGTCACTGCTTTCATTTAACCTCCCTCCTACACCATACACTTGCAACATCTGCCACATTGCCCCCCTATCCCCCTGTCATAGCCTTTTCCAAATCCTAAATCCCAAAAAAAGACCTCTTTAGCCTTATCTAAATACTGTTCACTTTTGTTTCACTGAAAAACACCTGGTCCAACACCCCTACCTTTCCTAAAGCCTCCTTTTCATTGCTTACCTATTCTCGTCTTACTCCTAATTTTTTCCCAATAAAAATTACCATAACTTTACGGGTTACTCAGCGATTTCCCCCTAAAATTTTTTGCACTCTCTTTTACCCCCTTTGCCTTTATAAAAAGGGAAAACTATGCATGCTCCTCCCAACCCTAGGTCCCTTTTCCCTCTTCCTACATTTTTAATTTTTGCAAAAAACCACTCCAAAACTATTCCCCCCCGCTTTTAAAAATTTTTCTTTATCCCATAACCCCGGTGCCTTACCCCCTTTCTTTTTACCTATCCCTCACGAATTCCCCCCCACTCCAACTGGCTCTTCCTCCCCCAAAAGATGTTATTCCTCCTTGCCCTTTACCAAAACACAGTTCCCTATTTCATCAACTTTAAAACATTCCTCAAAATTTCCCTCCATCTTCCCCAATCTCTAACTCCCCCATTAATAATTCCTTCCTTTTTTTAACTGACAAATCCATTTGTTCTCTAGGTTTCTTAATTGTACTCTCACTCCAAACTTTTTTTATTTTCAACAAAATTTTTGAAACATCTCACCCCTCTCTCTTTTTTTCTCTTTTTTTACATTGCTTCCCACTCTTTAAACCCCTCTCTTTTTCTCCATATCTCTTCCCTCCTTGCTCACTTCTATTTTGTAAAAAATTCTCATATGCAAATTTTTTTTCCCCCTTACTACTTCTTTACTCATCTTTCCACCAATCGCTCCTTTTCCCCTCCCGCACCCCTTTCCTGTAACCACAAACTTGCTGAACACACTACATACATTTTTAACCTCCCCCCATACCTCTTGACCCATTGCCTATGCTTCATTGCCCATCTATCCCCCAATACGTTTTAATTTTCCCTAACTGCCTCCCCTTTTGTTTATAAAACCTTCCCTCTCTTTCCCTGATGCTTTATTCTCCTTGTATCCCATCTACCCTTTTTCTCTCAGGTAGCTCAAAATAGAAAGTGATCTGAATTTTTCTGTGGCCCCCCTTAAACATGTACATCCTAAGCTACCAACAGTCTTTTTCTACCAATACATAATCCCAAAAAACTACTGTCATTTCGCCCTACAAAACATTCTTGTATACTTTTTTATCCCCTTTTTTTTAAAATTGTATTACCTTAACTAAACCCCCCTTTTATACAAAGTTTAAACAAAGGGCTCCCTTATTTTTTCACCTGGCCCCAAACTTACTTTCCACACCCCTCTAAAAGTTTCTCCCACTTTTTGCTTAGGTCCCCACCACAATTTCTCTTCCTTGGTTCAAAGGGGCCTATACATTACTTAAAAATCTCCCCAAAAACCTCTCTTCCTCTTTCTTCCTCTCTTCTCCAGGGGCTAACGCTTTATGACCCCCTTTTGCATCCAACCTTTACTTTTAATCCACAAATTCTTTAATTTACACATTCATATTCTCTTTTCCCTTTCCCTAATGAATTTAACATTATTTCTCCCTTCCTTTGCTCTAACCTCTCAATACTCCGATTTAATCCCATTTATTTCCCCCCCCCTGAAAAAATCCCCTACCCCCTTAGCTTTGTTTTGCTTAGGGCCAGGGACATCCAACTTCTTTTCATTCATAACATCAGCAATCATCTGTTTCTTGTCATCCGCACTACATCCACGCAATTTAAGCATCCCAGTTTTATAAAGTTTTTCTTCTTCTCTTTTTAGAAAATGTCTACAGGAGAAGGGGTTACTAGCCCATTGCTCCCGGCATTTTAGTCGCCTCATACGACACGCATGGCTTACGGAGGAAAGATTCTTTTCCAATTCCCCATGGACAATAGAAGAAATAAAGAAGAACAAGAGCTATTTAGAAAAAGGAGAAAAACCTAGATGTATGTATATATATATATATATGCATGTGCGTGTCTGTGAAGTGTTACCAAAGTGTAAGTAGGAGTAGCAAGATATCCCTGTTATCTAGCGTGTTTATGAGACAGAAAAAGAAACCAGCAAAACTTGGAGACAATGTTTACTCAACAAGCATTTGGTGTTATTACTAGTGTACTTAGTTTACAGTACATATATTGAATTGTTCAGTACAACTAGTGATTCTACCTTCTTTATCCAGGTACTCATAAGTAAGCTGGAGGCCCTCAACACACAGTTTAGCCTTGAGGGAGCCAGGTTTATAGTAGATTCCAGCATGTATTACCCCACTGTTGTGGCCACTTTGATGGAATGCTGCAATGCAAAATAATAATAATAATAATAATAATAATAATAATAATAATAATAATAATAATAATAATAATAATAATAATAATAATAATATTAATAATAATAATAATAATAATACTATGGTGGTAGATTGGTAGACAGCAACCACCCAGGGAGGTGCTACCATTGATCATTTTGTTTAGTTGGATATTTAAAGCTCTGTTTCCAATCATTTAGTAGGTTTTTGTCCATATTAAGGAGGACTTTGTTGATAGTTATCCATGGTAGGAAAGGAAACAATGATCAAAAACAGCATGTTCAGACAATTTAGAAAGGAATGTAAGATTAGAAACAGGATAACAGTGACATGTTTTCTGAATCATGGAAAGGCTTCTTGAGAAATGATCAAACTGAAGCTCCCTTCATGAACTGTGGAAAAACCACACTGAAAATAACGACTGATCAACACAGATCTTTGAAACAATAGAATCTAATGCACAATACATATATTTTATTAAATCTAATGTTATACCCCAAAACCCCCTGCTCACCAACTAGAGCAAAATATCATGAGCCAGAACCATCACAGAGAACTCTGCATCCACTCGAGTTGAATCCAAGTTTAAAAGTTTATTCTCTATTTTCTGACGAAAATAATAAGAGAAGGCAGAGTCCAGCTGAAATGCAGAATCAGAGGTAGGCAAAGCAGGTTCAGTTACAGGGCCAAAAATGGTCATCCAGATGGGTAAAGAGAAGAGTCAGATTTCAACAGCAAGATTCAATTTTTTACCTAAGTATTCCACTTTACAAGCCAATAATCTGTTCACTACTTGTCTATGGTCCCTCTACAAAATCAGATCGTGATCCAGTAGTACGCAATCTACACCATCGACTCTAGAACACTCCAAGAACTACACAGCTGGGTAACAGAGGAATCATAGCATGGGGCAAAGTTATGAATCAAGATCCTTAACTGATCAAAAGACAGAACTCATCAGTCACGGCAACAAACACATCATGAATCTTTTCTAACTAGTCAACAGACAATGAAGATGTATCCACCTTTTCTAAGGCATCTCTCACCATCACATCAACCTGGTCCAAATTATGGTTTCTATAATTACAGAGAGGCAGTACACTGAAATATCAAGAGAAAGTAATGACACTGATCTTATACAGGTACAACATCGATTTTCTGGACCTTTGGTTCAAAAGCCTTTCTGGATTACTGCTCGTAAATTTGTGTGGTTCCGGAAAATCGATGCTGTACCTGTACTCATATTGAGAGGTATTACATCTGCATCCTTAATGCTCTGAGAATAGACAGTAAACAGAATCAAGTCCAATACATGACCACCAATGTGGGTGGGCAATAACACATTCTAAAAAATATTCTAATGTACTAGCTCCAGGAACTCTCACGAATTTGGATTCTGTTGTGAACGATCAATCTAGTAGTTAAGTCACCACATACAAGATGACCACTTTTCTTTGTAAAGGATTCAACAAGAAAACCAAATTCCTCAGTGCCAGGACTATACACGATCATCAGTTTCACAATCTGCTGATGACAATTTGTTGCTACTTACATTACCTCAAATGACAACAGGCTGACCAATTGCTACATTAACACTTGACAAATTAAGAATAAATGACAAATTCCACCACCCCAAACAGCAACTGACCAAGAATATGGTACAATAAATAAAAAAGAATCTTGGGATTCCAGCTGGAACAAATACTATATCAGTGGTTGAAAAATAAACTTGTTTAGTATTACAAATAAAAATAAAATACATAAAACATCAGATTCATAATTATACTGTACTAGGATACATTAAACAATAAAGGTGTTCCTTACTTTATGCGATAAATATATTTCCAGCCAATGGCACAGAGAGTGGATAAAATTTAACATGTAAAATACATAAAGGGATATGTTCCTAGACTTTGCAGCTTCTACATTACAGTGGTACCTTGACTTGCGAGTTTAATTCGTTCCATGACCCAGCTCGTAACTCAATTTGCTCATAGTATATGAAATCAATTTTCCTCATTAAAATTAACTGAAAAGCCATTAATTCGTTCCAGCGGAATTCCTGGCTCTCGGGAGGCAGGAGAATATACGTACTTCAATATAATGATAATATCAACTCTATGGCTTATCACAACTGATCTGACATAATAAACAATATAAATAACATAGAAACATTATATATACTCTAGAATGAATAAAATATGTCATTATGTGATGAGTGGTGGTGGCCACGCCCGAGGTGAAAAATAATTCTCTCTCTGACCATATCTTCCCATTCTTGCCCTTCTGAGGTCTTATTATAAGAGAAAACAGTATGTTTGTGAGGCTAACTGCACCAGATCACCAGTTTCATAAGGAAAACACTGAAACAAAAGTGATTATCTCGGAATTCAATTTGCTCGTATATTAACCCTTTGACTGTCGAAGGGCCAAATCCTGAAGTTGCTTCTGGTGTCGCAAAATTTTCGAAAAAAAAAAAAATTATTTTTTCTTATGAAATGATAGAGAATCTTTTCCCGATTGTAAAGACACCAAAAAAACGAAATTTGATGGAAAACTGACGGAATTACTCTCTCGCGAAGTTAGCGACTTCGGCGATATTTAAAAATCGGCAATTTCGCCCACTTTGAGCCCTATTTTCGGCTAATTCCGTTATTCCAGTCAACCAAACTCATAACTATTTCTTCAGAACTCTATTTTTTCTATCGATTGAGTACAAGAAACTGCCCATTTACCGATTTCAACTACCCAATAACATGGTCAGAAATTTGCAATTTGGCCAATTTCACGAAAATTAAAAAATACGACAATTTCAAAATAAGGTCCAGAATGAACAATGCAGACATTCCTGGCTCTAAAATAACATTTTCTTTGTTCATCAGTCATGTCTCCAGGTCCCTGTGATATTACTCTTGCTTTTATTTTGAAATTTTATTCAAACAAAAAATAGAAGATTTACTGTTATGCAGACTACTGCAATACTGTAATAATTGTAAAAATTACATCAACCCATTCATGACTGCGTATTAGAATGGCTATTTGGACATTTATTGGACAATGACATCATTTGTATACTTTTGAACATCGGCAAAAATCAAACATTTCCTGTACTTTGTGCTCCATTTCCAGGTTCTTTTTATAGTAAAATTAATCAAAATCACCTCCATTTCTATAATATAGTTTCCATTCTATCAAATGAGACCAAGAAAACGAGAATACAACCACAAATACTATACGAAAATAGACCACAAAGTCGGCATTTTAATTAAAAAAAACGGTCGGAGTTTTTTTTTCTCATTATGCACTGCGTGCTCCAGGATTTTTTTTATGTGGTGCACACTGACCACACAGACCCATTCTCTCACATGTGGGCCTACTAGCTTTCTCCTGCCTGATTTGAAGCCGCTAGAATTTATGAGTATATATACGTCAAACACGGTACCTCGCAAACGTATATATACGGCCGCGACAGTCAAAGGGTTAAATAAATTTTCCTCACTGAAATTAACAGAAATTAACTGAAATGCTTCATGCCTTCTTGCAGAGAAGGCACGAAGTGCATACTACGCTTCTACTGCTTAGCCAAGTCAACTACACGCACACCTCGCTCGTGTTTTTCTATGATTTCGTGCTTTAATTCAATGAACATCATAAAAATAACTGCACAAAATGCAAGCACAACATAAGCGAGATGCTTCCACGGCAAGGTATGCATGTGCACTGTTGTGGTGTTTGCTGCGCCAACTAGTGGCAGCATACCTGAAACTCGCTTGTAACTCGGATTTTGGTTCACTTTAAAGAAAAAAAACTGACTGAGCAAAGGCTCATAACTCAGAAAACTCGCAAGTTGGGGCACTCATAAGTCAAGGTACCACTGTACTTGGTAAATATTTACCCCAAAAGTATGAACTTACTGCACTTATATGATCAAAAATAATGATAGTGGCCCAAAAATACTCAAGAAAAAATAAAATTCAAAATTCAGTCATACTTCTCTAGTCAGTTATCCAATTCTTTGAACTTGGCACAGAGAACTTACACTAAGCCAATCATAATATTTTATTTACAATAATCAGGTAGCAGTGGACTTGAGTGACTGCAAGAATGAATTTATACCACGCATAGTGAATTAATGGTAAAAATGGGGCTACTGCACAAAAGAAAATTTGCATAAAGGAAGACACACTTGTATTTATGTATAATATATTATGTACCTCATAATGGTGCCATTTTTTCAAACTGTCATTTGGTAAGAAAAATAGATGCTATAATATGTGATTACTGTTACAGTATAAAAGGTAAAGTAAAGAAAGTAGGTACTGTACCTGTAAAAGAATAAATAATGAATTATGGAGAAATGAATGATAGAGAAAAATGAGAATAAATTTACTGTACTGTACCACAGTACACATTAATAACCTACAAAACTGCATCTTATTATGTAGACTACAAAACACCTTCACCAATACTTATACGTACTATATTTTCAGGTATTATACAGATATCTTTTACCCACATCATCATCCTCCAGCCATATAGCAATTCTCGAATTCACTCATCCATATGAGTGTATTTTAACAAATAACTCGTTAAAAAACGAGTAACCTTGTCAAACTGCATGGTACTTCAAATCACTAATTCAATTAGAACCATAATGTACTTAAAAAAATATTTAATTTTAATAAAATGTTAAATGTATAGGTAACAGGTTGGTAGACAGCAACCACCCTGGGAGGTACTACTGCCCTGCCAAGCAAGTGTGAAACAGAAACCTGTAATTGTTTTACATGATGATAGGATTGTTGGGGTCTTTTTTCTGTCTCAAACAAGCAGAATAAAAGATATATCTTGCTACTTTTACTTATACTTAGGTCAAACTATACATGCATGTTTTTTTTTTTTTTGTTTTTTGTTTTTCAACAAGTCGGCCGTCTCCCACCGAGGCAGGGTGGCCCAAAAAAGAAAGAAAATCCCCAAAAAAGAAAATACTTTCATCATCATTCAACACTTTCACCACACTCACACGTTATCACTGCTTTTGCAGAGGTGCTCAGAATACAACAGTTTAGAAGCATATACATATAAAGATACACAACATATCCCTCCAAACTGCCAATATCCCAAACCCCTCCTTTAAAGTGCAGGCATTGTACTTCCCATTTCCAGGACTCAAATCCAACTATATGAAAATAACTGGTTTCCCTGAATCCCTTCACTAAATATTACCCTGCTCACACTCCAACAGATCGTCAGGTCCCAAGTATCATTCGTCTCCATTCACTCCTATCTAACATGCTCATGCACGCTTGCTGGAAGTCCAAGCCCCTCGCCCACAAAACCTCCTTTACCCCCTCTTTCCAACCCTTTCGAGGACGACCCTTACCCCTCCTTCCTTCCCCTATAGATTTATATGCTTTCCATGTCATTCTACTTTGATCCATTCTCTCTAAATGACCAAACCACCTCAACAACCCCTCTTCTGCTCTCTGACTAATACTTTTATTAACTCCACACCTTCTCCTAATTTCCACACTCCGAATTTTCTGCATAATATTTACACCACACATTGCCCTTAGACAGGACATCTCCACTGCCTCCAACCGTCTCCTCGCTGCTGCATTTACCACCCAAGCTTCACATCCATATAAGAGTGTTGGTACTACTATACTTTCATACATTTCCTTCTTTGCCTCCATAGATAACGTTTTTTTGACTCCACATATACCTCAACGCATCACTCACCTTTTTTCCCTCATCAATTCTATGATTAACCTCATCCTTCATAAATCCATCCGCCGACACGTCAACTCCCAAGTATCTGAAAACATTCACTTCTTCCATACTCCTCCTCCCCAATTTGATATCCAATTTTTCTTTATCTAAATCATTTGATACCCTCATCACCTTACTCTTTTCTATGTTCACTTTCAACTTTCTACCTTTACACACATTCTCAAATTCATCCACTAACCTTTGCAATTTTTCTTTAGAATCTCCCATAAGCACAGTATCATCAGCAAAAAGTAACTGTCAATTCCCATTTTGAATTTGATTCCCCATAATTTAATCCCACCCCTCTCCCAAACACCCTTCTTTTACAACCCCATCTATAAATATATTAAACAACCATGGTGACATTACATGCATGCATGTGGATGCATATATATTTACACACTCATCTGGGTTTTCTACCATTTTCTATTTCAGCTGTTCGAGTGCTGATACCAAACGAATTTGTTCCCACGACGAATAATGTAAATTAGATTAGCCTGTTTCAGACCCCCAGAAATACACTTACAAAAACACTTGCAAAAATACACTTACATAACTGTTCAAGTTGGGAGCTGTTTGAAACTTTAGGTACCACTTGCACATCTTAATGTATGCCATAGAACATAATGCTGTAATTTCTATAAAAAAAAAAAATCGTGTACAGTACATCTCTGTCAATGGTTCTACACTACAAACAAATTTGGTGGGGGACTTTAGGTATCTGGCAAAATTAACTACAGTACTGTACATTATCTGCCAATGGGAAGGACAAATAGATAATAGTGGTTCTGCTAAACTCTGAATATATGACAAGTTAAAATTATATACAAGCAAAGCAACCTCTACTTCACAGCATCACAATCATGAAGAAAAAAAAAAGGATAACACACTGACAAACATACACAAGTGAACAATCAGAGATTCAGCAGTGACAGAATAAAGACAATAAATAATGATGAAAGAACTAGCAATAATAGCATTTTTGGAACAGATTATTATTACAAAATGATCAACAATAATAATAACTATCCAATTATCTATACTTTGGGAGTTTACCTCAAGTGACTGAAATTAAGCAATGTAGCAACCTTTAATGGTCTTCCCTTTGCATTTAGAAAATAGAACAACTGCAGTTTCATAGATACAACTAATGATTTATTTTAAAGTCTACATCTTAATGACAATCTCTTACACTGCAAAGATAACCAACACTTATGAAAGAATGGTTTATGACAGTAAAAGAAAATCACAAGTAACTAAACATTCTTCACATTGATCTAGATACTTTTTGCTTGCAAAGGAACATGAAAGGAAACTATGACAGCTACACTAACCTATATCAGAGACCATACAAAGGCAGAAAGATGTCAACCCTCTTCCATAAACATTGTCCACTCCCATAGAAAAGCTTCAAGTGATCTCTTACAGAAAAACAAGCTGTTGAACAAATACTTCCATTACAAATTAATAGTCAATTCAATTTCAAGATGCTCTAATACTACGTACACATGTTCAACAACCTCTTGCAGCAAAATTAGCTGGCACTTTCCACTTTTAAGGTGCTATGATGTACATGGATAGTTATATCTGCCTATTCATCATTTACAATTTCCAACTAATTAGGAAGAAACAGCTGCAACAAATGAATTTTAATCAAGACATTAAGAAATGTACTAAATCATATTTTCTTATAAAAGTGAAGAAAACTTCAGATTCATTTGGGGAGATACAAGATAAAAAAAAAATTGTTAGTATCATTAAATAAATGCTCAGTTAAATGAGACCAAGAGCAATATTATACAGAGGAACCTCGGTTTTCATGATGAATTTGTTCCAGAAAGTCTGATGAAAAGCAAATTGTATGAAAACTGAAGCAATATTTCCCACAAGAAATAATGTAAATCCAATTAATCCATTCCAGACACCCAAAAATATTAAAAAAAAAAAAATACATTTTACAGAGAATAACTATAGTTTTACATACAGAAAACAATGAGAAATAAATATAAATGACTAATGAAATGGATAAATGAACATTTAGCGTCACTTTTACCTTTATTAAGACTCTTGTTGACGTATGGAAGATGGTGAGGAGGGAAGAGGGAGGAGGAGAGATTATTGTTGTGAAGGGGAATCCCCCTCCATAAGGACTTCAGGTAGCAAGGCCCTATCCAGGGTTACTTCCCTTTGTCTTTTACTGGCACTAGGACCAGCTTGAGAGTCACCGGACCCCTGTCGCACAAAAAATCTGTCCAGAGAGGTCTGTTTCTGGCGCCTCTAAGATTTGCCTAAAATGGGACAAAACATTGTTATTGAACATGTTGCAGACACGGCTTGCAACATTATCATACTTTGCTACGAGGTCCTTCTCGAATTCTATCGTGTTTCTGCCTTCTTTATCAAAGGGCTGGCATTTAGAACTTTCTTTGGCCCCACGATGGCTTATTTAGCAGTCGCATTCAATAAACACACAAAAAAAAAATGGATTATTACAAAATGTTTCGGATGAATACGCGGGGTAATGCTCACTCAACGAGAAACAAAGCCAGACTGAGTCGGAACGTGTGTGATGCTTTGTGTAGGCACAGGCAGGCGGACGCGTTTGGTACGGTGGACCATTGTCAACTCTACAAAAACCGAGCAAATGTACAAAAACTGGGGCAAAATTTTGACGAAAAAAGTCGTTGAAAACCGAATCCTACAAAAACCAGGGCATACGAAAACCAAGGTTCCACTATACTATTAACTCTTACTTATGTAACATGAAAATACAGTATTACAGGAACAAATAAATAAGTGCCTACAAGTCATAATGTTCAGATTGCTTCTGTCTGTAATACTAGAACTATATAACCATCCCTTTTTTGGGTAGGGCATGAAAAAGTCACCATGGTAGCAGTGATTGCAGTGATTAATATATATATTTTCAATTGTCAGATATAAAACTATTAATAAAGTATATACTTGTATATTTAAAAGTGTCAGACATAAAACTAACAACTTGAAATATTCACCCACCCATCCCCACAAACAATAACTTTTCACTCTATACTGGAATATAGTACAAGAGAAATTAATTATTATTCTTTTTAAAATTTTAAACATATATAATGCAATACATACAAATTAAACAAAGCTTTCAGTTACAGACTAAGATATAAATAACCTTAATTCTCTTATATTAAGGAATACTAAAATCCCTGACATTTCCCAGCTGAACAGGTCAATTCCTTACCAAGCCGATTCTCCTTCTCTACAACGCCAAGTTTGAGGTCTGGATGCCTGAGTGCCAGCTCTCGAGCAGTGGCCATACCTATGATGCCCCCACCCACCACCACAATATCATACTCAGGCTCATGGCTGAAATTACGAGATAAAAATTACAGCCTTGTTAAAAGCATAATTCACCCATTGCTTAAGTATTATTCAAACTTTATGGAGCGTAACCTCCATATTAAATTGTAATCTTCCACTAACTTATTTTTATGTGAATTAATTTCTTTAGATGGTGGCATCCAACTTGACAAGTTCATCAAATTTGGACTAACCATAGAAGTGGGGTGGGGTGGGAATGGTGAGGCTCGTAACATTGCAATGCATTGCAACATTTGTAAATTTTTGGAAAGGTAGCTAACTGGAAATGGCTGCCGAGTTTAAAAAAAAAAAAAAAAAAAAAGAAAATGTGATTGCCTATTTATACGATGCAGTATTGGTAGTTACAGGAGTAGGGCAATGCTTGTGGTGTCATCATTATTATTATTGTTGCTGTATCTGCCTTTGAAATTTTGGGATTCCCAAAAGCAATGGTTGACTATCATCCTAATAAATGCCCGTATGCATTGCCCTGTCTGTAAACTTAATTCAGGTCATTTTAACTGAGAGCAACTACAGCACTAACCAATGAATAATTTTTTTAACAATTTCTCACCAAAGTATGGTGACCCACCAATGAGAAAAATGCTTTCACCATCATTCATTCAATCACTGTCTTGCCAGAAGCTGTGATGCCACAGTTCAAATGACTCTCCAAACATCAATATAAAACACCCTCCTTTACTTCCTACATCCAGGACTAAAGTCCAGCTAACTAGTTTACCTGAATCTCTTCATAAATTTTACCCTGTTCACACTCCAACAGCATGTCAAACCATAAAAATCACTTACCTCCACTCATTCCTAACATGTTCACACAAGCCTGAGTAACAGACAATAACTATATACAGAAGATGCAACTGATATTACATAATACTGTGAAACTAAAATGTGAATAGAAAATACCAAGGACCAATTATACAACCTAGCTGTTGCAAAGAATGAGAGAGTACTTATTCATTGTTTACAAGTAGAGTATTATTATTATACTGAAGAGGGAGTGCTAGTATCAAAGGAGCGAGGAATCACCTGGAGTAATGGGAAACAATCAAGTTCAATCCATGGGAAGGTCAAGTGCAATTCCTCAGCTCAAGAGCTCCAAACTGGCATCCATGATCTTCTGTTGAAGATTGTTATACAAGCAGAGCCATGCTCAGTGACCAATCTTCAGTGTTTAATGAGTCATTTTTTGTTTTTAATTTTCCAATAGCTGTATCACTATGGTACTTCCTCCTGGATACTGTTCTTTATCTATTTTCCCATTCCTTTTTATGATGTTGCCAATTAGGGTTATCATGCCTCCTCATTTCCTATTATCATTCAACAAAGGTATTTTTAGTCAATTTATACAGTAGCTCATTTTACTGTATTTGTCTGGGACCTATTTTATTGCATGTCTAAGATTTCATTAATCTATCTATACCACACTTCTGCTGATTATTCAAATTTTAGCCTAACAAATGTTGTAAACAGCTTTTTAAACATGTCCAGATTAATAGAAGGCTATTTTAAAGTTTGAGTGTAGCAAATGAGTTTCTCACAATTTATTTCACTTGACTGCCTAGCAACAATCTCATGACTGATTAGCACACTGGTCATGGTAATATAGTGTAAACCTACTTCATTATTTGGATAAAAATCGTAAGAAAACAAACGCTACAGTATTTTTATTTTCATAAGAGGCACTCTTAAGCAAAGTGTGAGAAAGGAAGTGGTTGCCTATATTGTACTATATCACTATCAGTAATCTAGGGAACTCATTGCCTTAGGACAGCCTGAAGTGCCATCTGCTGAATAGCACATCACTTTCTGGATCCAGTACCCACTGGCCTGGGGATAAGTTAAAGTTAGGAATATTTATAAAAGTACTAGATTCCATTACTGTATCTTTTTAATGCCATTACACAGGCAGCAATGGGTGCAATTCTTGAAAAAGGAGTAATGCAGCAAGGTAAGTCCAAGGTGATTTGAGCTCATTTTCAATTAAAATTTCCTTAATGCACTTCTTAATGTTGTGTAGAGTACATATTACTGAATATTGTGCTGCAGCGGATCCTGGAGTAGGGATGAAAATGTTTAGTAATATTAACTACTTTTAAACAGAGAGTATTCCTGAATAATTTACACATTTAATATATGAACAAATGACTACACAAGTATGTAAGGGTCACCCAATGAAATGAAAATGACTACAGTACTTGAGAACCCTTGACAAAGTGTGGTTGACAGGTGCACGTGAGCATACATTTGTATATGTACATGTATATGCTTCCTAGATACATGTATAGACTTAGAGAACTTCTCTTAAAAGACAGGCATGAGCACCTTCAGAGACATAACCCACCTGAACATCCAATCCCCTTACTAAAATGGACCAAATTCTGTGTGGCCTTATTGATTCCTTATGCAAATCTGATTTAGATCCAATAAAAGTTTAATTTTCATTGCCTGTAAATGTGTAATATAACAACTGTAACCTGCCTCTACTCGCATTATTGTTATTATAATTATGGGGGAGCGCCAAACCTGTAGAATTATACAGCACATGTGGGGGGGGGGGAATGGAAGGTATTCAGGCTCAATTCAGAGCACAGATCTAATTCCCTAGATCAAGAGCCCCTCACCAGCATCAAGGAACTTCCCTTGAGGGGGTGATGTACTTGCATTGCATTCCTGCCCACACATTATTGTCACCACTACATTCCATCACCCAATAATTATCACCAAAACTGTCAAGACTGCTATATATTCATATTGCACAGTTAATTAAACTTGGCATTCAAACAAATCCTTGCTTATGCAATATCAGATTCCTTAACTATGTAATACTAACTAGTTTCAATCAATTCATTGTTGCAAACTTTTAGTATGAACTAGAATAAAGCTTGCTTGAAAGGCTATGCATTCTATAAGCTTTTCAAATTCTGTAGTTGTACTTTGTTTGCATATAAGTTTGAGAATAAATTTGGTTTCACAGAACTTACTGCTCATGTATAACAATTATAAGAGTTAGAAACTTTCCAAAAAATCATCCATGTCTCCCTACCTCCTAAAACACTGCATTTTTAATTCCATATACTTTATATTTCTGTCTATATTTCTCTCTTTCTTTCCAGTAACATTTAATCTATAAACAAATGCTGTATCCCATGTAGTTTTACAAACTGGAGGACTAGAGCAATAGGTGATGTACAATATATTTAAAAATTACACATCTATACAAGGACATAACCTATGTTGTGTACCTGACTGATCAAATCAATGGTGACATAACCAGTGGGAGTACCAAGGGGTGGCTTGGGGGGATATAGTCCTCCTTAAATGAAATCACCCTTTCCCCAGCATGCATACATGTGCAAGCACAGGCACATACACACAAAGTACAGCCTCTCCTCACTTAACGACAGAGTTCTGTTCCTTAGACATTGTCAATGAACGAATTCGTTGGTAAGTGAGGAGCATACTATAATGGTACAGTAGTGAGTTTATGTCAACCATCTTTGACAATGTTTTAATGTCACCTTTGTACCATTTATAGCATTTATAGCATTTCTAGTATATTTTTAAATATTTATACAGTAGTGTACTGCATATTGTAATAAACAGAATAGAGGAAATCAGCTCTAAAATACATTGTCTAGGTATGAATACTGGTCAAAGAGCCCATCATAAGTCCGAGTCGTCGTTAAATGAGTATGTTGCTAAGTGAGGAGAGGCTGTATATATGTAAAAAAAGAAGTTTGATAAGCCCCTCTTTCAGACTGCCATGTCTAAGCTAATGCAGCTGCCCATAGACATGACCTATTAACATACAGTACCTTAAAACTTTCATGGACAGTACAGTATTTTCTTTATATTAAATAAGCTTAAGTTTAGGACTGCTGAAAAGACTACAAATGGCACCAAACTTTATAAAACTCAACTCAAATTACTGCACTTTTAATAACTGGCATGTAACACCTACAGCAAAATTTCTTCAATCAGTAATGATTACACTACATGAATGATGATATGTATATGGAAATAAACCATACGACAATTGTATTCACAGGGAAGTTCTAAACCCACAAGGGCCATAAAGTATGTGGGAAATTAGAAGCAATCAAGTATGATATGAGGAGGGAAAGTAGCTCTAATTTCTTAGGTCAAGAACCTTTGCCATCTTCAAGGTACCCTCCTGAAAGAAAGTCATAACTTAACATTTTGTAATCAGTATAGTGCTCAGCTTTTGCAACATTTCTTACTGGATAGGGAGAGAGGTTACTGTGACCTTTAGTTCCCTCAGTATCACTATGGTGTTTAGAACTGGTTAGGTTAGTATTACAAAGGGCATGTTCTGCTAAAGCAGGTACGTATAATACTATTTTGATTTTAGTTAGGAGTAACAGGTAACATGCAAGCATAAGTGGTATCCAGCAGACACACTAAGTTTTCAAATCAAGTTCAGCAAGTTATCCATGCAGCAGGTTCAGTGACTCGTTAAAATGTAACCATGAATTATGCAACATTCTAATGAGGTTGAATACAACACATGCAACACCTGGGTATGTGCAGTAACTGAACATTTTACCTTCGCATCAGTTTTTTTTATCCAGCATAATACAATAAATAACAAAAAAAGGCACAATACCGTGACTGGAATGGTACACAAATAACCCGCACATAGAAGAGAGGAGCTTACGACAATGTTTCGGTCTGACTTGGACCATTTACAAAGTTACACACGTGTGACTTTATAAATGGTCCAAGTCGGACCGAAACATCGTCGTAAGCTCCTCTCTTCTATGTGCGGGTTATTTGTGTATAATACAATGAAAGTCCAATCTTAAGTATGCCAAAAATGCATTGCATAACTATTGGCTATTCCCTGTAATTTTTTATATAGCAACATGTAATGTACAGTATTATGTAATGTCATGGAAAATAAACTATATCTACTTTACTAAACAAGGGTAGCATTTATACTGGAGACAGTGTAAGAAGTGAAGAGGTAATTTTAAGGAGTTTTTCCCTTAACCTTGATAGAAACTTAGTCCCTCAGTCTTGTATACCATCAAAGATATGCCAGTGATCACCAATAACTTTACAAAATTTATATATGGGAGATCTCTCTGCCAGTAAGAACATATTGGAGAACTCTAAAGCAATCAGTGACTTGTCACTGAGATCACTGGCATTCAAATGTGTCTGATGGACCAATTAATGTAAATTACTAAAAATTAATAAACTGAACCTTAATGCATGTCTTTGTATATTCAAACGAATACAACGTATGAGAAAATATTTTTATTTTAATTATGAACTTCAGACGGTTAATATAAAAAACTCAACAATGGTTTACAGTATGGTCCTTAGGTCCTCTAACAGGATGTGACCCATGAGTCAGCTACTTTCTAGGTATCCATTTAGTACTAGATAAACAGGGCAGCAGTTGTTGGGAGACATGCCCACAGGTTCCACCTTGCCCGAAACTGAACTAGATTCTTTAGTACAGGCACCTAGCTTTCCATGAAAAGATGTACTATGTATATGAATTACTATTATGTTCGTGGGCAAGTGCTAAATCCATAGGGGTCATTACACTGTCCAAGTTATTACTACATGAAACAACTTTGCTTATCCATGTATACTTGTCTACCTGTCAGGGACTGAAAGTGCCCCAGTTGTCAAGGCCCAGGCTGCTAAAGGCACAAGTGTTTATGTGGTTGCTGGCCTTCACCCAACTGACTGGGCAATGTAACATTTGTGTGTAGAATTTCAGATAAACAGTGAACAGCACTGAAAATAAACATATACATTATATCAGGTTTAGATAATCCATTCTTCTGGTATTAAAACTTTTTTTGAGACTGGAATACTCAAAACACTATTCACTCAAACATTTAATCATACCTGATATTGGAAATGATCTTGGTAATTATTAATATTCATGGGAAGCGCTAAACTCGTACACATTATGATTCCAATTCCTTGGATCAAAAGCCCTTCACTATCGCCCAAGAAAACTCCCTCAGAGGGTCTGTACTCTATTTCTGGACAGACACAAATACAGTGTAACATGATCCTTCATTTAGTCAATAAAGAATCACATACTGCATGTGTCTGTATCCATGGTATCGGTATGTTATATCAATTTTCTGTACTTTTTATTTTTTTTACTGTACCGTACTTGTAGTCTATATATCATCAGAAAATACTCTTCTTTATCGTCAATATTACTGGGCCCCTGTGGAATTAAGTCGCAGTTTCAGCGACTGGGTCATCCTAGGTTAAATCTACATGACGTGATATATACCAGTGTCAATATTATGAGTCCTGTGACCTCATGACCACCGTAAAACAAATGTATTGATTGTCTATATTAAACGAGACTATTGGTTGGAAAGGTAGGTACATAACCGAGATGAAGGATATAAACACTTTAGAAAGTACCGTACATGGCTGTAATAAGCACTGCCTATTAATGAGTGCCATTCTTGCCAATTGGCACTGACAGTGACCTTCAGGGTTCATGACAATAAAAAGCACACTTTCCACAGCTAACCTACTTGGCACCGCCAATTTTCTACTCTACTGACCATGGACATACCTGGAGGCTGCAGACAAGTGCCTACACAGTGTTGGTGAGAGCTGACGTGTTAAATGTTTCAAATTACACCTGAGAGGCCTAGTGAGGATCCCCTGGAGCAACATGCTGCCTGTGTGTGTCCTGGACGCTGAGTGTCACCCAGCTGCTCCACACATGCTGCCGACACCCTCGTACGAACTCTCGTACAGCATATGCTCCCCACTAAGCTTGAAAATTATAGAAAAAAATGTATAAAAGCCTTATCTTTCTTTACTTAATAGGTTATGAATTCGTAAGTGAAAGTCAAATACGCAGCACGAAAAAAATATGCCCCATAATTATATAGATTTTTGGGATTTTAAAACAAAAATAGAACTAAATGCCATTCATTACCTTATGTCTATTGTACCTGTATCATATGATCATCTCTCTGATTGCAATGATAAACATTATGACATCTAATATAATGTACATATATTCAGTACCATTTACGTCGACATAACCAAAAGAAGTAAAACTGCATTATAAATATAAATGCCATTAACAACTTTCTCTGTACAAATTATCTTCCCACTAATAGAGGTCAAGGATAAGACGTTTTTCCTCCCCAGTGACGAGGACATGTGACCAACCTTCCTCACTCACCCTTAACGAGGAGGACTTCATGAAACTTATACACAGCGTATGTAAGGCCCATTTTCCAATATGCAGCACTACTATCCAAAACAAATTCTAGCCACAAAATAGAGCGAAACACCAACGTCAAAGACCTGGGAGTGATTATGTCGGAGGATCTCACCTTCAAGGACCATAACATTGTATCAATCGCATCTGCTAGAAAAATGACAGGATGGATAATGAGAACCTTCAAAACTAGGGAGGCCAAGCCCATGATGACACTCTTCAGGTCACTTGTTCTATCTAGGCTGGAATATTGCTGCACTCTAACAGCACCTTTCAAGGCAGGTGAAATTGCCGACCTAGAAAATGTACAGAGAACTTTCACGGCGCGCATAACGGAGATAAAACACCTCAATTACTGGGAGCGCTTGAGGTTTCTAAACCTGTATTCCCTGGAACGCAGGAGGGAGAGATACATGATTATATACACCTGGAAAATCCTAGAGGGACTAGTACCGAACTTGCACACGAAAATCACTCACTACGAAAGCAAAAGACTTGGCAGACGATGCACCATCCCCCCAATGAAAAGCAGGGGTGTCACTAGCACGTTAAGAGACCATACAATAAGTGTCAGGGGCCCGAGACTGTTCAACTGCCTCCCAGCACACATAAGGGGGATTACCAACAGACCCCTGGCAGTCTTCAAGCTGGCACTGGACAAGCACCTAAAGTCAGTTCCTGATCAGCCGGGCTGTGGCTCGTACGTTGGTTTGCGTGCAGCCAGCAGCAACAGCCTGGTTGATCAGGCGCTGATCCACCAGGAGGCCTGGTCACAGACCGGGCCGCGGGGGCGTTGACCCCCGAAACTCTCTCCAGGTAAACTCCAGGTACCCTCATCTGGTAAAATATGTAAAGAAGCTGGAAAAAGTATAAGGGTTTGCAACGAGACTAGTCCCAGAGATGAGGAGTCTGAGATATGAGAGGTTATAGGGGTTAAACCTGACGACTTTAGAGAACCAAAAACTAAGGGTGATACGATTACGAAGTACAAGATACTGAGGAGGGGGGAGACTGACAGGGTGGAAAGGGGCTAGTCTCTTTGAGAGCTAAATCTTAGGTACACAAGATAACAGCCGAAGCTTAAAACACAGGTGTGGTCTCAGGTGGTACCCCTGGTGTGGCCTCTGGTGGTACCCCTGGTGTGGTTTCAGGTGGCACCCCTTGTGTGACCTCTGGTGGTACCCCTGGTGTGGTCTCTGGTGGTACCCCTGGTGTGGTCTCAGGTGGTACCCCTGGTGTGGTTGCAGGTGGTACCCCTGATATGGTCTCTGGTGGTACCCCTGGTTTGGTCTCAGGTGGTACCCCTGGTGTGGTCTCTGGTGGTACCCCTGGTGTGGTTTCAGGTGGTATCCCTGGTGTGACCTCTGGTGGTACTCCTGGTGTGGTCTCTGGTGGTAACGTGGTGTGGTCTCAGGTGGTACCCCTGGTGTGGTCTCAGGTGATACCCCTGGTGTGGTCTCAGGTGGTACCCCTGGTGTGGTCTCAGGTGGTACCCCTGGTGCGGCCTCTGGTGGTACCCCTGGTGTGGTTTCAGGTGGCACCCCTTGTGTGACCTCTGGTGGTACCCCTGGTGTGGTCTCTGGTGGTACCCCTGGTGTGGTCTCAGGTGGTACTCCTGGTGTGGTTGCAGGTGGTACCCCTGATGTGGTCTCTGGTGGTACCCCTGGTTTGGTCTCAGGTGGTACCCCTAGTGTGGTCTCTGGTGGTACCCCTGGTGTGGTTTCAGGTGGTATCCCTGGTGTGACCTCTGGTGGTACCCCTGGTGTGGTCTCTGGTGGTAACGTGGTGTGGTCTCAGGTGGTACCCCTGGTGTGGTCTCAGGTGGTACCCCTGGTAAGGTATCAGGTGGTACCCCTGGTGTGGTCTCAGGTGGTATCCCTGGTGTGACCTCTGGTGGTACCCCTGGTGTGGTCTCTGGTGGTAACGTGGTGTGGTCTCAGGTGGTACCCCTGGTTTGGTCTCAGGTGGTACCCCTAGTGTGGTCTCTGGTGGTACCCCTGGTGTGGTTTCAGGTGGTATCCCTGGTGTGACCTCTGGTGGTACCCCTGGTGTGGTCTCTGGTGGTAACGTGGTGTGGTCTCAGGTGGTACCCCTGGTGTGGTCTCAGGTGGTATCCCTGGTGTGACCTCTGGTGGTACCCCTGGTGTGGTCTCTGGTGGTAACGTGGTGTGGTCTCAGGTGGTACCCCTGGTGTGGTCTCAGGTGGTACCCCTGGTGTGGTCTCAGGTGGTACCCCTGGTGTGGTCTCAGGTGGTACCCCTGGTGTGGTCTCAGGTTGTGCCCCTGGTGTGATCTCAGGTGATACCCCTGGTATGGTATCAGGTGGTACCCCTGGTGTGGTCTCAGGTGGTACCCCTGGTCCTGGCCGTTCTTTTTTTATATTATCCAAACATCAGAAACATCGACATTTTGACTCTTCCTTGATCTATGACATTTAAAAGGTTAGAGCAAGAGCCATATAACTATGTTTAGGCTGCTGAATGCACTCATCACACAGGATGGTTTTCATGTCATACTCCATCACACAGGATGATTTTCTTGTCATACTCCATCACACAGGATGATTTTCTTGCCATACTCCATCACAGGATGGTTTTCTTGTCATACTCCATCACACAGGATGGTTTTCATGTCATACTCCATCACGCAGGATGGTTTTCTTTTCATACTCCATCACGCAGGATGGTTTTTTGTCATACTCCATCACACATGATGATTTTCTTGTCATACTCCATCACACAGGATGGTTTTCTTGTCATACTCCATCACGCAGGATAGTGTTCTTGTCATATTCCATCATGCAGGATGGTGTTCTTGTCATACTCCATCATGCAGGATGGTGTTCTTGTCATATTCCATCATGCAGGATGGTGTTCTTGTCATACTCCATCATGCAGGATGGTGTTCTCGTCATATTCCATCATGCAGGATGGTGTTCTTGTCATACTCTATCACGCAGGATGGTGTTCTTGTCATACTCAATTACGCAGGATGTTTTTTCTTGCAATACTCCATCTTTTTCAGGTTGTTCCTCTTGTCATACTCCATAACACAGGATGGTTTTTCTTGTCATACTCCATAACACAGGATGGTTCTTCTTGTCATACTCCATAACACAGGATGGTTTTTCTTGTCATACTCCACACAGGATTGTTTTTCTTGTCATACTCCACACATGATGGTTTTTCTTGTCATACTCCACACAGGATGGCTTTTCTTGTCATACTCCACACAGGATGGTTTTCGACTCACTCCATCACGCAGGAGGATTATTCATGCACTGGGTATAATGTTAGCCATTTTATGCTGACGAACTTCACAAGGACGTTGTGGACATCACTATTAATGCAAAAAGGATTCGCTGCATTAACTGTAATTTCGACTTTTAATCCTTCCATCATAGCTGGAGGCTTTTGTATATATACAGCTATCACTCAAGATTATGTTGTATATGTCATCACAGATGGTGATTATATGACAAAAATTCAGATTATATTCCTAGCGAAAATTATGATAACACTGGCTTTTTATTTTTAGAACTTTTTGCATGGGTTCGAATCTCGTCCCTTCCCTGACTGATATTCACATAAGCACAAATGGGTCACTGCAAGCTACTTTACAAGCGTACCCACCAGTTTTGGTACCCCTGTTCCGTCCCTCATTCACGTTCCTGATATAAAGAAGCTTATATCACCTCAATAAAGGATTTAGATTATACTAAGGTGAAGCGCTAAACCAATATGAGTCATTCAGCGCAAGGAGTGGCGGAGGCTCGATCCTTTGTCCGCTAATTAGGAAACAGAACATGCTACTCTTACAGCCAGACTTTCTTCCCACAGAGGATTTAGCCAATACTGATCACAGCAAGAACTTCATAGAATGATAAGAAATGAATAAAGAAAGAGTGAGCAAGAATGTATAGTATATTTGAATAATTCATCCTCTTTTTTTCCTCAACGAATAGACAAGTGCTTCTCGACTCCGTTTGACTGGTTAGCTTGAGGTGGTAAAAATCAGTTTTTATGATAAGATAGCACTTCAACATGCCAATAGTTGCATAAACTTTTCCCTAGTTGCAGTACACCTTTGTTGAAAATTTGAAGTCGATCGGATGAAGCATTCTCAAGTGTCCCTTCGGAGATACCTAATAAATGTAATCCTGAAGCCTAAGTGGTATCTAGAACAGAAGGAAAAGCTGTTTTGGTAAATGAATATACCTCTTTTAAAAAGTTATTATATTAAAAACAAGTGCTAAACCTACCCGAATGGGTTATAAAGATATCCAGAAATTAGTTTACATAAGAATAAAGCCGAATGAAAAGTGCATTTGTTTATCGTTCCCAGATACAATTTGACCTTTTTTTAACAAATTCAGTAAACTAACAACCAGCTTTTCGAAAAGCTAGGCGATGATTCAACAGCAGTCGGCGGCTGTAGACGCCCAGGATTTTGCAGTTTGGCCGGTTAACCATAAAGATAGCATGAAATGGGAAATGATAGCATGTCTTGTAAAAATTCTAAAGCAACTCATGGACACAGAACAGGAAGACCTGTGACGACAGTGACGTGGCTCAACCGGCAGTAGTCAATAGCGGGATGTGAGGCAGTCAGCCACAACTTGATTCACCGACGAAATCATCCAGATCCTTGTTTAGGGAAGCCTAAATCCTTGTATAGGGGAGTAAATCCTTGTATAGGAAAGACTAAATCCTTGTATAGGAAAGACTAAATCCTTGTATAGGAAAAACTAAATCCTTGTTTAGGGAAGACTAAATCTTTGTATAGGGGAGTAAATCCTTGTATAGGGAAGACTAAATCCTTGTATAGGGAAGACTAAATCCTTGTATAGGGGAGTAAATCCTTGTATAGGGAAGACTAAATCCTTGTATAGGGGAGTAAATCCTTGTATAGGGAAGACTAAATCCTTGTATAGGGAAGACTAAATCCTTGTATAGGGAAGACTAAATCCTTGTATAGGGAAGACTAAATCCTTGTATAGGGAAGACTAAATCCTTGTATAGGGAAGACTAAATCTTTGTATAGGGAAGACTAAATCCTTGTATAGGGAAGACTAAATCTTTGTATAGAGAAGACTAAATCCTTGTATAGGGAAGACTAAATCCTTGTATAGGGAAGACTAAATCTTTGTATAGAGAAGACTAAATCCTTGTATAGGGAAGACTAAATCTTTGTATAGGGAAGACTAAATCCTTGTATAGGGAAGACTAAATCCTTGTATAGGGAAGACTAAATCTTTGTATAGGGAAGACTAAATCCTTGTATAGAGAAGACTAAATCCTTGTATAGAGAAAACTGAATCTTTGTATAGGGAAGACTAAATCTTTGTATAGGGAAGACTAAATCCTTGTATAGAGAAGACTAAATCCTTGTATAGAGAAGACTGAATCTTTGTATAGGGAAGACTAAATCCTTGTATAGGGGAGTAAATCCTTGTATAGGGAAGACTAAATCCTTGTATAGGGAAGACTAAATCCTTGTATAGGGAAGACTAAATCTTTGTATAGGGAAGACTAAGACTAAATCTTTGTACAGGGAAGACTAAATCCTTGTATAGGGAAGACTAAATCCTTGTATAGGGAAGACTAAATCCTTGTATAGGGAAGACTAAATCCTTGTATAGGGAAGACTAAGACTAAATCTTTGTACCTGGAGTTTACCTGGAGAGAGTTTCGGGGGTCAACGCCCCCGCGGCCCGGTCTGTGACCAGGCCTCCTGGTGGATCAGCGCCTGATCAACCAGGCTGTTGCTGCTGGCTGCACGCAAACCAACGTACGAGCCACAGCCCGGCTGATCAGGAACTGCCTTTAGGTGCTTGTCCAGTGCCAGCTTGAAGACTGCCAGGGGTCTGTTGGTAATCCCCCTTATGTGTGCTGGGAGGCAGTTGAACAGTCTCGGTCCCCTGACACTTATTGTATGGTCTCTTAACGTGCTAGTGACACCCCTGCTTTTCATTGGGGGATGGTGCATCGTCTGCCAAGTCTTTTGCTTTCGTAGTGAGTGATTTTCGTGTGCAAGTTCGGTACTAGTCCCTCTAGGATTTTCCAGGTGTATATAATCATGTATCTCTCCCTCCTGCGTTCCAGGGAATACAGGTTTAGAAACCTCAAGCGCTCCAGTAATTGAGGTGTTTTATCTCCGTTATGCGCGCCGTGAAAGTTCTCTGTACATTTTCTAGGTCGGCAATTTCACCTGCCTTGAAAGGTGCTGTTAGAGTGCAGCAATATTCCAGCCTAGATAGAACAAGTGACCTGAAGAGTGTCATCATGGGCTTGGCCTCCCTAGTTTTGAAGGTTCTCATTATCCATCCTGTCATTTTTCTAGCAGATGCGATTGATACAATGTTATGGTCCTTGAAGGTGAGATCCTCCGACATAATCACTCCCAGGTCTTTGACGTTGGTGTTTCGCTCTATTTTGTGGCCAGAATTTGTTTTGTACTCTGATGAAGATTTAATTTCCTCATGTTTACAGGGTACAGGGAAGACTAAATCCTTGTATAGGGAAGACTAAATCCTTGTATAGGGAAGACTAAATCCTTGTATAGGGAAGACTAAATCTTTGTACAGGGAAGTCTAAATCCTTGTATAGGGAAGACTAAGTCTCTTGTGGAAAAACTGAGCTAAGTTTGCTTGTGGTACTCCTTGAGCAATGGTCAAAAGTATTGTTATTACATTCATGTGGAAGCGCTAAATCCGTAGGGATTCACACAGTACCTACGGAAAAGGAGGTAGTCCAATTTGATCAAAAGAGGGTAGCTCTAATTTCTTGGAGTAAGAGCCCTCCATCAGCTTCAAGGCACCCCACTGAAAGAGGATATCACATATCTCCATCTGTTTACCTGGAGTTTACTTGGAGAGAATTCCGGGGGTCAACGACCCCGCGGCCCGGTCTGTGACCAGGCCTCATGGTGGATCAGAGCCTGATCAACCAGGCTGTTACTGCTGGCTGCACGCAATCCAACGTACAAGCCACAGCCCGGGTGGTCAGGTACCGACTTTAGGTACTTGTCCAGTGCCTGCTTGAAGACAGCCAGGGGTCTATTGGTAATCCCCCTTATGTATCCTGGGAGGCAGTTGAACAGTCTTGGGCCCCTGACACTTATTGTATTGTCTCTTAACTTGCTAGTGACACCCCCGCTTTTCATTGGGGGGATGTTACATCGTCTGCCCAGTCTTTACTTTCGTAGTGAGTGCTTTTCGTGTGCAAGTTCGGTACTAGTACCTCTAGGATTTTCCAGGTGTATATAATAATGTATCTCTCCCTTCTGCGTTCCAGGGAGTACAGGTTCAGGAACCTCAAGCGCTCCCAGTAATTGAGGCGTTTTATCTCCGTTATGCGCGCCGTGAAAGTTCTCTGTACATTTTCTAGGTCAGCAATTTCACCTGCCTTGAAAGGTGCTGTTAGTGTGCAGCAATATTCCAGCCTATATAGAACAAGTGACCTGAAGTGTCATCATGGGCTTGGCCTCCCTAGTTTTGAAGGTTCTCTGTTGTTTAGGATATGTGATATCGCCAAGCATCCCACATGTTTATTTTATGTTGACTAAATATGTTAATCTGGGTTAACGCAAATATGTTCTAATGTTAACGTTAAGTAACATTTACATTTATTAGGCACTGGGCAGATTATTATTCTCATGGGAAACCAATAAACCCGCAAGGAACATGCAACCTCAAAGGGAATGGGAGGTAATCACGTTTGATCCAAGGAAAATGAGAGTAGCTCTAGTTCCCTGGATCAACGAACTGTAAGAGGAAAAATGAAGGGTAAGCTGGTGTTACCTGGAGTTTACCTGGAGAGAGTTCCGGGGGTCAACGCCCCCGCCGCCCGGTCTGTGACCAGGCCTCCTGGTGGATCAGAGCCTGATCAACCAGGCTGTTACTGCTGGCTGCACGCAAACCAACGTACGAGCCACAGCCCGGCTGATCAGGAACCGACTTTAGGTGCTTGTCCAGTGCCAGCTTGAAGACTGCCAGGGGTCTGTTGGTAATCCCCCTTATGTATGCTGGGAGGCAGTTGAACAGTCTCGGGCCCCTGACACTTATTGTATGGTCTCTTAACGTGCTAGTGACACCCCTGCTTTTCATTGGGGGGATGTTGCATCGTCTGCCAAGTCTTTTGCTTTCGTAGTGAGTGATTTTCGTGTGCAAGTTCGGTACTAGTCCCTCTAGGATTTTCCAGGTGTATATAATCATGTATCTCTCCCTCCTGCGTTCCATGGAATACAGGTTTAGGAACCTCAAGCGCTCCCAGTAATTGAGGTGTTTTATCTCCGTTATGCGCGCCGTGAAGGTTCTCTACATTTTCTAGGTCAGCAATTTCACCTGCCTTGAAAGGTGCTGTTAGTGTGCAGCAATATTCCAGCCTAGATAGAACAAGTGAACTGAAGAGTGTCATCATGTATCCTGTGTCTGTATTAAGATGCAGCTTTACGAAGAGTGAAAATCATACGAAACAATATAAACATATCAACTCCCTCAGTCATACTTCCTGAAACATTGTACATTTTCACTCTAGTCTGTACATTCTATATACTTGTGCACACACTCATGTGCAATCTCACTCTTACCTTCACAATGTCCAATTATTTTCTCTTCTGTCATGGGACCTAGATATGATAACAAGTACGCGTCAACCGTGATTCCTCCTCCGACACCCCGAGGAGGTGTTCCCCACTGTAATACACAAACACTTGCTCGACACTCGCAGGCAATACCTGCCTGGCACACACACGATACCTACCTGTCACTCACACGCAACATCTGCCTGGCACTCACAACCCAGTCACAAGCATTCTGTTACTTCCGTGATTCTAATTAAAGGTTAAAAGTTAGCAATACAAGTGTTTATTATGCATGTTTAGAACACTTTTATTTCTAACTTTCACGACAGTGTGAAATGTTTGTACGTACGTCTGTATATTTAAAACTTTAAGTATTACATGGAAATTTGATATTAAGAATAATGAAATTATGTTGTGATGGAGGAAGGGGGGATAAGCCTATTCAGGCAGCCCCCTTATTTAATAAGAAGCAAAACTAATGGGAGTTATATGCGGCGATGTGAATATGATAAACTAATAGATATAGCAACATATGAGTTACTGTACGTTATGCTTTTGGTAACGCTTGTATTTTGGCCAAACCATTAAAATAAAACAAATAATGACGACACTGATATATAACTTCAGGTGCTTATGTCACTTTAAACCTGGAATTAGAATATTTATTTTTTAATAACTATATTTTGGCAAATTATGAACACCACTTAAACACAAGTGGCATAAGTTTTTTATACATGAATTAACCACAACAGCGATCAATGATGTGAACGATTTCCGTAATCTGGAGTCCAAACATTGGAAGCAGGTCGGTAAAAGGCTCACACTTTTCCCTCAAGACAGATCTCCAGTACAAGAGGTTCCACTCCACTTCAGCGAGTTCTGGGGGACCGGACGAGGTGTTGGTACATCGATCCTTACAAATGTTGGTTCTCTGCTTTTTTAAAAGAGGGTTGGTGGTGATTTTACGTCGTGAATATGGCGCTAATGCATCTAGAGCAGCGGTGATAGAGTCTTCCTTTGCGATTTCTCCTACTGCATATGTAATCGGTCTTCCTTCATCAGCCCTACCATGGAGCAACACCACGTCTCCTTCAGTGTCCTCTCTACTTTTTTCCCGACCAATTCCCCATGCTGTTTCTCGTGCTGGCGGTGCAAATCCGGTGAATATGTCACTAGGAATCATCCTGCCACGTGACCGGTTCTCCTCCCATGTCGTATCTCTTGCCTGAGGCACCGTTGCAGGAGGCATAAAGTACAGCATCCCCTCTGTAGAATTAGCCCAACTCGACATACTGGTGTAAACAGCATCAACACCCGGGCTCAGTGCTTCCAGGGCAGCCTCGATGGACGGCTCATCGCTCAGGGTGAAGGTTTCCGAGGCCAGTTTGGTGGTAGTGGTGGAGTAGGCCGCTTCAGGCTCTGAAAGTGATTCACCTCGTCCTGAATTAATATAACAATAACAATACCAGCATCAGTATTATACTGTGTGAAACACTGAAGAGTGACTGATAACAATAAATAGTAAGAGGTAACAAGTAGTGAGAGAGGTCGCAGTGTGTGAGGAGGTAAGGGGGAGAGGTAGGCGTGCATGGGAAGGTAGGGAAGTTAGTTTAATGTTTGTTATGAACCCCATACCCATCCTGTGGGCGGTAGTCAGAAGATTACAGAAGTACATAATGGGTCCAGGGATTGGGCCCCAAAGTTTTGATAGCAGAGCAAGCTACAAAGGTAATGAACTCCAGGTAAATATGGTCACAATCATGACAAGTTACAAAGGTATTTACAGATTACAGGGAAGAAGTAGGACTTGCCTTGTGGAAAGATACAGGCTGTGGTGACCACCTTGGACATAGATGCAGCCAGCCAATACGCCACCTCCGCCAGATGCTCTCCGCCAACCTGGCCGCCACCTGACCAACACAGTAAATGCAGTGTTAATCAGTTTCTGCTTTCATGTCACTCATTGCGTTGAATGACCCACACGGGTTTATCGCTTCGCAAAAGAACTTAATTATTATTATTATATTCATGAGGAACCAGTAACTTATAGGACAGCACCTGGGAATGGGAGGCAATTTGGTTTGATTTGGAAGGTACCTCCATTATTATTATAATCAAGGGGGAAGCGCTAAACCCGTAGGATTATACAGCGCCTGTGGGGGGGATGGAAGGTATTCACGGTTAATTCAGGGAACTGGAGCACAGATCCAGTTCCCTAGATCAAGAGCCCCTCACCAGCTTCAAGGAACCTTCCTTGAGGGGAAAGGTACCTCCAATTCCTTGAACCACGAAACACTAACAAGCATCAATGCACCTCCTCCGCTCATATAGCTGTATATCCCTTGTGGTTTAGCGCTTCTTTTTTATAATAATAATAATAATAATAATAATAATAATAATAATAATAATAATAATAATAAAGGGTTACTTAAAGTAATATTACTCCACGTTCAGAGGACGACGAAAAAAAAAGTCCCACTTGTCATACCTGGAGTTTACCTGGAGAGAGTTCCGGGGGTCAACGCCCCCGCGGCCCGGTCTGTGACCAGGCCTCCTGGTGGATCAGAGCCTGATCAATCAGGCTGTTACTGCTGGCTGCACGCAAACTAACGTACGAGCCACAGCCCGGCTGGTCAGGTACCGACTTTAGGTGCTTGTCCAGTGCCAGCTTGAAGACTGCCAGGGGTCTGTTGGTAATCCCCCTTATGTATGCTGGGAGGCAGTTGAACAGTCTCGGGCCCCTGACACTTATTGTATGGTCTCTTAACGTGCTAGTGACACCCCTGCTTTTCATTGGGGGGATGTTGCATCGTCTGCCAAGTCTTTTGCTTTCGTAGTGAGTGATTTTCGTGTTCAAGTTCGGTACTAGTCCCTCTAGGATTTTCCAGGTGTATATAATCATGTATCTCTCCCGCCGTTCATTACCTTTGTAAATTGTGAGTTCATTACCTTTGTAAATTGTGAGTTCATTACCTTTGTAAATTGTGAGTTCATTACCTTTGTAAATTGTGAGTTCATTACCTCTGTAACTTGCTCAGCTGTCAAAACTTTGGAGTCCAGTCCCTGGACCAATTATGTACCTCTGTAATCTTTTGACTACCGCCCACAGGATGGGTATGGGGTGCATAATAAACATATTAAACTAACTAACTCTCCCGCCTGCATTCCAGGGAATACAGGTTTAGGAACCTCAAGCGCTCCCAGTAATTGAGGTGTTTTATCTCCGTTATGCGCGCCGTGAAGGTTCTCTGTACATTTTCTAGGTCAGCAATTTCACCTGCCTTGAAAGGTGCTGTTAGTGTGCAGCAATATTCCAGCCTAGATAGAACAAGTGACCTGAAGAGTGTCATCATGGGCTTGGCATCCCTAAGCACTTCTTTAATAGTACCACTGACTAAGAAATGTTTGCTTTCTGGTGGAGTGTGATGCAAGAATCTGTTGCTACCCATTATGTACCTTTGTAATCTTTTGACTACCGCCCACAGGATGGGTATGGGGTGCATAATAAAGATATTAAACTAAACTAACTACCCAATATCACAGCGTTATCAACATAGTACCATTTTACCCCTGAATTAAGAAAGCTGCAACCGAGAATGGTTAACTGAATATGATGGAATGAGGTAGATACAAGTCCTGGAATAGTTTAAACATTGGCTGACAAACAAGCAACAAAGTGTTATACGTGGAGTAGAATAGGGTGGGAGTAATGTTTTGAGTGGAGTGCCACGAACTTCACAAGTGGGTAATAAACCGTAAAATGCTATAATATAAAAAAGTGTACGATGCTACATATGGGATACAACCACATAAGTATGAGCTTGTTTTGGAAAGTGTCTTTTCTTCAGTAGTGTCGGCAGCACGCCATTCCATTAAAAAAAAATGTACCTTTTCTTAACAATCCAGCAATCATTAAAACTAGCGCAATAAATGGAAGGAGCATTGGAAAACTGGCAATTAAAATCTAAGAATATGTTACATATGAATAAAAGAACAAGTGTACGAGCGTGATAGGATGCTGTGTCCGTAGAGGTAATGAGTGTGGAAGTAACAAGCTGCTATATTTGTGTTGGACTGACACTGACACTGACACTACCTCACTACCCAGTCATAAATTATGGGTTGATAAAGAGCTTCAGAAACAGTGTACTCATACATATTTAGCTAAATCTCACAGAGTTTTAAATGATATAATGAAGGTGCTATTTGTCTCAGCTATTTAATGAAGATTTAACATAAAGTATTAAATGTGCTCACTCTAAGCTACACGTTATTTTCATTACGAGGTTATACTAACACTCCGCCACATAATACTAATGTGGCCACCACTACATCAAGAGTATATGCTCATGGTTTATCAAGACTCTCATAGTTTAATACAACAAGTACACGAGAAAGGCACATGTGCAATAATTGGGTATCTTAATTGTCGAAATGTTTCGCATGTTCTGCAGACTTCTTTGGTCAAATACAGATGTATTAAATTATGTAGACAGCAAGAGCAATGGGGAGAAAAGATGATGTGATAAGTCCGTCAGCATTGAAGAAGCAATTCTGAGGTTAGCTGCAGTCACCAGGTCTCCTGGTTGCTCGCCTGATCGACCAGGCTGTTGCTGCCCGCCGGCCACAGTCCAACGTATGCGCCACAGCCCGGCTGATCAGGAACTAATTTGAGGAACTGATCAAATTCTTGAAGAGAGCTAGGGAGGGTCTTGAAAAGTTGTGGTCATTTTACACTTACCAAGTTCTCTCTCAGCGTACTCGTGTAGTGATTTCGGTGTGTAGATTTGGGGCAACTCCTCTAATTATATTCCAAGTGTAGATTATGATGAGTCTTTCTCGCCTACGTTCTAAGGAGTAAAGTTCGAGGGCCTTCAAGCGCTTCCAATAATTTAGGTGCCTGACAGAATTTATGCAAGCTGTGAAGGCTCTTTGTACATTTTCCTGTTCTGTGAAAACTGTGAAAGTGTATAAACTAAGGGAGGACGAAGTTCGGGTGAAATATAAGTAACTATTGGCAGAAAGGTGGGCAGGAGCAGGTATGAGTAGTGGGGGGGGGGGGTTGAAGAGGGTTGGAATAGTTTTAAAAATGCAGTATTAAAATGTGGGGCAGAAGTTTGTGGTTATAGGAGGGTGGGTGCAGGAGGAAAGAGGAGTGATTGGTGGAATGATGAAGTAAAGGGTGTGATAAAAGAGAAAAAGGTAGCATATGAGAGGTATTTACAAAGCAAACGTGTTATAAGAAGAGTAGAGTATACTGAGAGTAAAAGAAATGTGAAGAGAGTGGTGAGAGAGTGAAAAAGGAGAGCGGATGATAGAGTGGGAGAGGTACTGTCAAGGAATTTTAATGAAAATAAGAAAAAATTTTGGAGTGAGTTAAACAAGTTAAGAAAGCCTAGGAACAAATGGATTTATCAGTTAAAAACATAGAAGGGGAGTTAGTAGATGGGGAGATGGAGGTTTTGGGTAGATGGAAAGAATATTTTGAGGAACTTTTAAATGTCGACGAAGAAAGGGAGGCGGTAATTTCATGCTATGGAGAGGGAGGTATATCATCTTTTAGGAGTGAAGAAGAGCAGAATGTAAGTGTGGGGGAGGTGCGTGAGGCATTACGTAGAATGAAAGGGGGTAAAGCAGCTGGAACTGACGGGATCATGACAGAAATGTTAAAAGCAGGGGGGGACATAGTGTTGGAGTGGTTGGTATTTTTGTTTAATAAATGTATGAAAGAGGGGAAGGTACCTAGGGATTGGCGGAGAGAGTGTATAGTCCCTTTATATAAAGGGAAGGGGGACAAAAGAGATTGTAAAAATTATAGAGGAATAAGTTACTGAGTATACCAGGAAAAGTGTACGGTAGGGTTATTATTGAAAGAATTAGAGGTAAGACAGAAAGTAGAATTGCGGATGAGCAAGGAGGTTTCAGAGTGGGTAGGGGATGTGTAGATCAAGTGTTTACATTGAAACATATATGTAAGCAGTATTTAGATAAAGGTAGGGAAGTTTTTATTGCATTTATGGATTTAGAAAAGGCA